CCGGGGCGGGGCCGAGTCGAGGGGCGGAGCCCGGGAGACGTCCGCGGCCGCCGCCTCAGGGAGGACGCTGGGAGTTGTAGTTTCCGGGACACGAGACTGCCAGGAAAGAGGGTGAAGTGGGGCGAGCCCTCCCGCAGAGCACGCTGGGAAACGTGTGAATGAGTGGATGTGGCTACTGGTCTGAGGAGTGACCAGCGGGGAAATACATTCGGTGGAAGCCGCTGCGCGAGGCACGGCGGGAAGAGAGGCGGGAGGCCGCGCGGGGCATCCCGGCAGCAAGGGCCGGGCCGGGCATTGGCGCGGAGCATTGTGGGAGGTGGACGCCGCTCCGGGGCGGGTAGGTGAGTGGGGAGGGGCGGGAAGGGTGCACATCTGGGGGAGGGGAGAGGCACAGCTGGGTGGGACAGCCGGGATGGGGAGGTGCTGCGGCGGGCGGGGCTGTGGGGAGTGCCGCGGCGGGCGGGGCTGGGAGGGATTGAGGAGGTAGGAGACGGCTGGGAGGGGCTGCACGAGGTGGGAGGCGCAGCAGGACGTGGGGGAGCATCCGAGGTGATGAAGTCCATCTGAGGACGAGGGGCTTGTCCAGGACGAGGACGCATATCTGGGGAGGACAACAGCTGTAGATGGGAAGAGGGGGTCACAGGCAGACTAGGCAGTGCATCTGGGCAGGAGGGGACCACAGATGAATATTGGTGGCACTTCTGAGAATGGGCCACAAGGGAATGGGGCACACACCTGTAGGCGAAGAGTCCATACTAGTGAGGAAGACGTCTGGATATGGGAGCATCTCTGGGAAGCAGGGGCACAGCAGGATGTGGCAACCCACAGCGGTCACATCTAGGAGAGGGGCCACAGCTGCCTAGTATTATAGACACATCTGGGTAGGAGGGAGCCACGGGTGCTCCGAATATGAAGAATATGACGGGATGAGGGGTCCATTTGTGGGTGTGCAGAGCACATCTGGAGATGGAACGCCTTTAGAGGGGGGCACAGCTGAATGTGGGTTACAGCCCATGTGTAGGCATGGAAAGGGGAGTTGCATATGAATGGAGGCACTAGAGGTTACCACCAAATGTAGGAGACACATCTAGAAAGGGAGGAGATCCTATCAGGAAACTGGGAACACTTTGGAGTGTCCACCTCTGAGTTTAAAGGTCATTTTGGGAGAGGGACCCCAGCTGTCCCTAGGGGTCACAGCGATGGAGGAGAGGACCAGAATTGGAGTTCATGATCAGGAAGATATGTTCCAACTGTCCTAAGAATACAGCAATGGGTGAGAGGAGGTCAGAGATGGGCTGGAGCTTCCTGTCTAGAGATTAACGGGTAGATCCTGCCCCAGGCCCCACCTGGATAGAGGAATCAGCGCAGAAGAGGCAGGCCTCAGATGGAGGACGCTGGATACCTCAGGAGGGGAAGGATCTGATATCCACTTGTCCTCGCACTCTTGCCACTCAGGCGCCCCAGGATGGAGCCCCCACCCGGCACGGCGGCGGGGCAGGAGGAGCAGGAGCTGCGGGAGAGGGCTTTCTTCTCGTGGGCCGAGTTCAGCCGCTTCTTCGACGCGTGGTGCCAGCAGCGTCTGGCCCTCTTCTTCGTTAAGAGCTCCATGCACCTAGCGCGCTGCCGCTGGGCCAGCGCGCCCCCGCTCTACACGCTCATCGACGTGCTCAAGTACAGCTACGTGCGGCTGGTGTGCAAGGACGTGCGCGCGCCCAGCCGGCCCGCCGTGGGGTGCGTGAGCCTGAGCTGCTGTCCTGCCCAGTGCGGGAGGGGAGGGGGAGCAGGGGGGAGGGGGAGGCATGAGCCCCAACCCAGAGACTGGGAGGGAAGGATGCCACCTAAAACCGCTAAATACAGAGAGGCCAGGAGGGTCCAGGAGGGAAGCTTCCTGAGACGGAGACAGAGCCAGTTTGCTGGAGGGCTAAAGTCACACACAGAGGTTGAGCTTCACTTAACAGACTATTTTTTTTAACTTTCTTTAATGGAGGTACTGAGAGTTGAACCCAGGACTTCATGCATGCTTAGCATGCGCTCTCCCGCTGAGCTATACCCCCCACAACAGACTTTAACAGAGACCCACTCAGAGGCAGGGAGAGACGCAGACACACACACCCAAGAGACATAGAAAAAGAAAACTCCAGAAACATGGAGACATGGCACCAGAGACCCCAGACAAACAGGGGAGAGCCAGGTTTGGGACACATACAAAGAGCTGCAGAGAAAGCCACAGGACAAAGACAGAAAAAGAGCCATCCAGTCAATAAATGCAGGGCCCGGTCCCATGCTGGGAGCAAGGATATTTTACTTGGAGGAGGTGGGGAGTTTAGCATGACAAATTCCCCACCCTTCTGGAACTTTCATACAGGACAGAAGACTGACATTATGTGAACAAGCTCGCCAAATAGTTACCTCCAACTGTAATACCACAAAGGGCTTAAGAAAGCCAAGAGGGCTAGGAAATATACCCCGGTGGCCAGGGGTGTTTTAACTGACCCCAATTTTAAACCCTGAACCTTCCCTGTATGATGTCGGGTTTCCAGCATCCCTTGAAACATGGGAAGAGGCTGAGCCAGTATTCCCGTGTGGCAGAGGGCCACCCTGATTAGGTGGGGCATCAGTGCTCAGGTTTGCCCCAGACCCCACTGCTCTCTGCCACCTCTTCCTTCCTCGTTTTGCCTGCCTGGCCCTGACGCGTGTGAGGTGGAGACCCTTGAGTGAGGAGCCACGGGCAGGAGGGGAGTGCTTTGGAACACAGGCTCTGCCTGCAGGCTGCTTGAGGCCGGCTCCCCCACTTCCTGGGTGGGTCTCTTTGGGCAAGGACTTCACATCTCCAAGCCTCAGTGTTCTCATCTCTGAAAGGGGGTTATCACCATATTTGTCTCGTGGGGCTTTTGTGAGGTTACCGGCAGCCCAAGCGCAGGAAGGCGTTTAACTAGTGCCTGGAACACAGGGCGGCTGCGTACAAGATAGCTGTTACAGGAGTCAAGAGCACAGACCAGCCAGCCGGCAGCCTGGGTGCCAGCCTCGGCGCCACGGCTGATCAGCCCATTGACATTGAGCAAGGGACGTCACCTTTGGAGGCCTCAGTTTCCTCCCTGGGAAAATGGGAATGGTAATATTACTGATCTCCTAAATTTTGTGAGGATTAAATGAGCAAATGCAGGCAAATTGTTCAGAAACACGCCCAGGCAAGCCTCGCTAACAGTGACTTTTACTTACAGTTATTTAAACATTTATTGTGAGAACTAAGATTCTCAGTAGCTTGCCCGCTGCTTATTCTAGAAACAGACTTAGAAACAGACACTTACTGAACCTCTGCTGGGTGCATGTTCTTTGTGGGGCACGTGGAACCCTGAGCTGGTCTCTGCCCTTGGGCAGCTCAGGGCTTAATGGAGGAGACAAAGATAACAAAAAGAAAAGAAAAAAAAAGTAAGCCCAAAGTCATGAGAAAGAGTAAAGAGGGAGATAGAGGAGGATAAAAGAGGAGTGGTCAGCTCTACTGCGAGCTTACAGCAGGGTGGTCCTGGAAGGCTTCCTGGAAGAGGTGACCAGTAAGTGGAGTCTTGAAGGATCTTATTTACACATGTATATATGTATAGTATTTGACTTAAACACATGGCATGTACTGTGCGTGAAGGCACTGTCTGTCTACAAATACCAGAGGGAGCCAGGGGGCAGGACGGTTGGGTTGGAGAGTGACAGGCTATCAAGGGGGTTAGAATGGTGTCTGGGTCTTGGGCCTGGCGACTGGGTGGACAATGGGATGGTCCCTGGATGGGGAGCCCAGGCATGGAGGTGGTTGACGAGCTGGTGGATGATGGCATGGAGCCCATTACTTCGAGCCCCTCTACCCTCCAGCCGCTTGGGCAGGGCCTCTTCTGCGCCTAGGGACCGAGGTCCAAGTCTGGAGGATTTGTATGTGAGAAAAGGCAGGAGATGTGGCTGGAATGGTGCCAAGGCCCAGACCTGTGGGGCTGAGTCTGAGGGCTGGGACTTTATCCTGGGGCCCTGGGGAGCCTCCAGAGGGCTGTGAGCAGGGTCAGCTCTGGATGTAGGAAGACCCTCTGGGAATGGACTCGTGGGGGATGGACTGGAGGGGAGAAACCAGAGGCCAGGGAGGCAGCTGGACCAGAGGCACTGTCTTTCCGGTCACTCCCTCCCCCTTTCCTGGAAGTTGCACAGGGGCCCCCAAGTCACCATCGCCGCATCTTCCCCTCTCCCAACCCAGCTCTCTCCAGCTCCTGCAACCCCCTAGCCTCTCACAGCACTATCCCCGCCCCACCCCGCCAGAACAAGATTGCCAACCTTTCCCAACACACACCAGCCTTGGAAAACACAAAGATCTTGAGCACCTGAAAGTTCACGAAGAAATGGGCTGGTGGACCGCACAAAGCAGTGGTCCTTTTAGAAGAAAAAAAGATGTTTCAAAATAGAGGCTACTTTTTAGTAACCACTTAGTAGGCACCAGACCCTTTTCTAACCGTTTATGTAATTTCATCCTCTTGTTTAAATCCTCCCAATGACCCTGCAAGGTCAGTATTACTATGACCCCCAATTTCCAGGTGAGCAAACTGAGGCAGAGAGGTTAAAGGACTTTGCCAAGATAACACAGCTGCTAAGGGGGAAAGCCAGGATTTGGACCCACACAGTTTGACCACAAAGCCCATGCTTTTAGTTACCATTTTCTCTCTGTCTCTCCCTCTCTCCCTTTCCTCTCATCTTCATTTCAGTCATGGATCATAAATATGAGAGTTAAGTGCGCCGACACCCAAAAGGCTTTTTGGTCCTAGAGGCTACGCTGTTTGTTCATTCATCCAAGAGGTTTCTTTTGAGCACCCACTATGTGCAGGATACATGTGTTTTAGATGCTGGAATTTCAGTGGGAGACCTCCCCATTCAGTGGGGGGGCCATTCATTACAGGTGGGCATCAGTCTAGTCATTACCCCAATACGTGATGGAATCTGTCCTCGCCTAGGGATGGTCCTTCCTGGAGGAGGTGATGCTAGCTCTGAGTTACAAAGGATGAGTAGGAGTTAACGAGGGGAAAAGAAGGGAGAAGGAAGGATGTTTCATGAAGAAAGAAAGAACTTACAGTAGGTTGGTAACAGTGGAAATGGAAGAAAAGCGGGTGGTTTAGAGAGTTTAGGAGGCATGATAGGCCAGACTTGGTGATGGTGGCTTTGATGGGATGAGTGATGAGAGGTATGCCTTGGTGCTTGGGGTTCGGACAGTGGGATACAGTCATTTGCTCATCATATGTTTACCAAGCACCTCCCAGGGACTAGGGAATGTTTGAGGTGCAGGGAACACAGCAGTAAACGAAAGAGACCAAAATTCCTGCCCACGTGGAGTTTACAGTTAGAGGGGGTGGCTTTATTCCCCCAGATAGATGGAGAGAAATGGCAGAAACGGGGTGTTGAGGCCACAGTAAGTAGACACTGTTTGAGATACCAGGCCCCCACAGAGGGACGTGCTATGCTCTGGTAAGATGCACGGCTTCACAGAGGAGGTCACCTCCTCTGAATGGGGGCTCGTTCTAGGGGCTGAAACCCCCAGGCCCAGAGAAGTCAGACAAGAGAGTTTCACGAAAGCCCAAGAAACTGTTCTAGTGAAATGTACTGGAGAGAACACCATGAACTTGCCCTTTTGGTGGATCAGAAATGGCTGCAGGTTGGGAATTGCTTTCATTGCTTTCAATAAGGCCAAAAGCTTCAAACTCTGTCAGTTTTGAAAATCGCTCAGGCTCCTGGGTTTTCTTTACCTCGTGGGTGGAGGAGAAAAGGGGTGTGTCAAGGAACCTCTTCTGGTTTGACAAACACAGTTCTTAAATGTTTGGACCAGAGGTTCTCTGGGTGGGTCCTGAGAAGTCTCCCCCTTCTGAGGGGCCATTTGGAAACAACACGGGAGCATATTGGTGGAGCGGGATGCCCCTGGCATTTACCACCTGGGAGCCAGGCTTCTCAACTATATGCCAGGCCCCCAACAGTCTATGTTACAAGGGTTGGCAAACTAGGAGCCCTCGGGCCAAATGCAGCCTGCACCTCATCTTTGTAAATAAAGTTTTATTGGCACACAGCCACATCCATTGATTTACACGTGGTCCGTGGCTGTGTTTGCAATCTAGCAACAGGATGTACCTATTGTCCCAACCTTTGCAGAACAAGCTCGCCACCTCTGCTCTATAAACATAAAACGTCCTACCAAAAATGCTGACATCAGCTCTCCTCCGTGAAGAAACAGAGACCCCCTTTCAGACAGCAGATGTCCACTTAAACACTATCAGGGAACCATACTCTTCTCTATGCTTGAAACAATTCTTAATGTTGAAAAAAAAATCATGATAAGCATCAAGGAGAGCGCGAAGGCAGAAGAGGGCAGGCGGCAGGGTGGTGTGACGGCGGCCGTGGTCCTTCCTCCCGCAGGCCCCCCCAGCCCGGCTGCCCGGCCTTCATCATCGTCAAGCTGAGCCCGCTGCGGGACCGCCTCGTGGTGACGGAGTGCCAGCTGACCCACTCGCACCCGGCCTGCCCGCTCGAGTTCGCCTACTACTTCCGCCCGGGCCACCTGCTGGCCAACGCCTGCCTGCCGGTGCGCACCACCAACAAGATCTCCAAGCAGTTCGTGGCCCCGGCCGACGTGCGCCGCCTGCTCTCCTACTGCAAGGGCCGCGACCACGGCGTCCTGGACGCCCTGCACGTGCTCGAGGGGCTCTTCCGCACCGACCCCGAGGCCAAGGTGGGGTCTCGCGAGAGGCAGGCTGGGGGCGGGGGAGAGCCACGCCCAAGTCTCGCGGGCCCATTCATTCATCCATCCTCCCACCCATCCATCCTCTCTCATTCATCCCTTCGCGCGTTCATTCCGTAAGTATTTATCCAGGCTTTGGGGAGGCGGCCGGCAAGACACACACCGTCCCTACCCTCATCCTCTAGGGCAGCGCCTCCAGTAGAACTTTTCTGCTGCAATGCTCATGCCGTATGATTCTGGGCTGTCCAGTATGGTAGCACCCAGCCACACGTGGCTGTTGGGTACTTGCAATGTAGCCAGGAGGATGGAGGAACCAAATTTTTTTAATTTTATTTTTTATTTTATTTTAACGAAGCGAAATTTTAAATAGTCACTGGCGGCGATTGGCTACTACAACCCTGCCGTTGTCGTGGGGGAAACCAACAATAGACAGATACATCCAAATGTGATATAATCTCAGTAGGGTTAGGGCCAGGAAAAAGAGGATCCAAAGTGATGGAAAGTGCTCCTTAAAAAAAAATTTTTTTTTTAAACTGAACAACACGAATAGAAAATGCACCAATGATTAGTATACAGTTTGATGAGTGTTCACAAAGTAAAAACACCTCTGTGCCCACCTCGCAGATCAAGACTCAGAAGGGAAGGTGCTACATGACATAATGTGATGGACTGGGGGTATCATAAAGGAGACGAGGGTGAGGGTGAGAGTGTGGACCCAGACAGTTGTAATGGTGCTATTTTAATTTGAGTGGTCAAGAAAGGCTTCTCTGAGGAAATGATGGCGAAGCAGAGGAGAGAGACTGGAGGGAGGGGACCCCTATTCTGTCTTCAGAAGGAAGCGAGTTCCTGGCAGAAGGAACAGCCGATTCCAAGGCCCAGAGTCTGGAGCAAGATCCATGTGTTGAAGGAACAGTGAGAATACTGCCCCTTCAGGAGGAATGTTTCTGCTGCTTTGATCCAACTTCAGGGCCAGGGTGGACTTGAAGGGAGGGAAAGAAGGAAGGAAGGAAGGAAGGAAGGAAGGAA